TCAAGAATGTTCTACCCATAAGTGATGTTTAACAGATACCCAATGGGAGCTAAAAGTGCATAAGATGAATTTCAACAAGCCACGTTCAAGAACTTTGGGGACATCAAGAATGTTCTACCCATAAGTGATGTTTAACAGATACCCAATGGGAGCTAAAAGTGCATAAGATGAATTTCAACAAGCCACGTTCAAGAACTTTGGGGACATCAAGAATGTTCTACCCATAAGTGATGTTTAACAGATACCCAATGGGAGCTAAAAGTGCATAAGATGAATTTCAACAAGCCATGTTCAAGAACTTTGGGGACATCAAGAATGTTCTACCCATAAGTGATGTTTAACAGATATTCAATGGGAGCTAAAAGTGCTTAAGATGAATTTCAACAAGCCACGTTCAAGAACTTTGGGGACATCAAGAATGTTCTACCCATAAGTGATGTTTAACAAATACCCAATGGGAGCTAAAAGTGCATAAGAATGAATTTCAACAAGCCACGTTCAAGAACTTTGGGGACATCAAGAATGTTCTACCCATAAGTGATGTTTAACAAATACCCAATGGGAGCTAAAAGTGCATAAGATGAATTTCAACAAGCCACGTTCAAGAACTTTGGGGACATCAAGAATGTTCTACCCATAAGTGATGACACGATTGTAAACTGTAAACCCAACCCCGACAAACTAGTGACATGTTCCACGGTTACCAGTCTTCAGTCACATCATATCCAAAGATGGTGTAAAACCAGACCCCAAAAAGGTCAAAGCAATCACACAAATAGAACCACCTGAGGATGAGGAACGGATAGCAAGCTTCCTGAGACTAGTTAACTACCTCAACAAGTTCTCGCCCCATTTTGTGATGATGACCAAACTAAAATACTTAACCTGTTGTCTAAGAGCAAACACTTCATTTGCTCATCCACGTATAAAAGTATCAAAGAAATTAAAAATACAGCGATACTGAGATTCTTCAGGCACCAAAGGCACCAAAAAGATTGGTATGACTAACGGAATAGTCACCAGGATGAGAAAATCAAGTTATAGGAACCTGGAATGGTAACACATACCACTTCTGAGCCAAGGACACATATGGCTGAATCTACAGTTGGCAGCATCCATCACAAGAACAGTTAATTCTTAAGGCCTGCTAGAAGTTGACAAAAACTCAGATATAAGCACCCACCATCACTCGATGCCAACACACCATCTACTAATGTTAAACCACATATCAAACCTCGCACTATAACATTAGTGCCTGCTGCACAAAACCCGCTCACTCATGCTGAACCATACACAGACAGAATTGACAGGCCAAAGTCAGAGCTATGTTGCTCCAGACCGCTCATGAAAGTACCACAAAGACTGGATCTGTGATACCACGAATAATATCCTCCCTATTTATCTTCATAAGAGGGCGATGATGTATTAGCATGCTGAGACTCTTAGATCACAATCTAAATATTCCCCTTTAGTGTTTCCGAGTATTAACTACCCTTAGAAGACCCACTTCTGTCCCCATTATTGTAATGGCTGTTGAATGTAAATAAATGTATTTTTAACCGCACATACATTGCTGTTATCAATCCGAGCCATCCCAAGGTCATTGTATCATAACAGTGAAGGTCAAACAGGAAGCGGTTCCACCAACAAGAGTGAGAAGGCTCTGGATTTGGAAGGACAAGAAGCATTCCCCTTCAATTTCATGTACAGAGTGATCCGAAAGTCTTGTCACCCTTACCACAAAGTAACGAGGAGAAGAATAGAATAACAAGTAATACAAAGCACATGTACTGGATTCAGTTTATTCACTTTCATTGACGCTGTTACACATCGAAAAGGTCTGTATGAACATCATCATTTTTGTGGCACAAAATGATGGGGCGCCATGTCCTTTGTGATATTTTACGAAGCTGTCCTTTGCTGATTGTTGCAAAAGCTTTCTTAACGGCATCCTTCAATTGATGGGTATTCTGGTATCGTTCATATTGTGACGGTTACACACCTGGCCCAGGGTCGGATCCTTTGGTTACGGCGCCAACGGTGACGTCGCTCCTCCTGGTCGCTCCTCCTGGGTCCAAGCGTGCCGCTCCAACCCCTTGGTCAGATGATCACCAGCCTCGCCTTTCCCGACTCGCTTCCAATACCTGGTCACTAAAGCAACTGTACCGATCTCCGGTCTGTCTACCCACGCTGTGTTTAGATCTTAGACAGACGGGACCAGCAGGGATTGGGGCCGATACAAGTTGAGTCCGACGGGGGTGGCAAAACACAAATAAAAGAGAAAATAAACTCACGAGACAAAAAGATTGCTGATGAAAAAAAATGGGTAACAACCTTTTATATCTTAATGTCGCTACATAAAAACAAAATTGTTCTCATTTCCCAACCCGCTCTGTGGACTATGGCGCAAGCTTCTATCACACAACCTAAAGATTTCTGAATTGCCTACTCTTTAGAATTGTGTATGTCGGGTGTGGTTTGGTTCGACACTGGGGCTAATTTCTATCGATCATTCGCAGTTGACTCTTCTCTTCGACTTGAGTTGTATTTCTTCTTCTTCGTCGACTTAGGCTGGAAGTTCTCTTGTCTTCGACTTGGGCTGGAAGTTCTCTTGTCTTCGACTTGGGCTGGAAGTTCTCTTGTCTTCGACTTGGGCTGGAAGGATCTCTTGCCGCAACTCAGCCGCAAATCTCTGTCGTCGGGGTGATCTCTTCTCGCTGCCGTCCGGGGCTGAACTCTTCTGTCTTCGACTTGGGCTGGAAGGATTTCTTGTCTGAGGATTCTTTTGCCCGCAAAGGGGCGAGTGAATCGGGCCTGATGGCCGCGTTCAGGCTCTATCCCTGCCCGCGGTCCAGCTGCAACTCTCAACTCCAACTCAACTGATTTCTGTCGACTGGGGTCCTGCTTTTATTGACGCCGCAACAAACTGGGGTGGGTCTGTCGGCGTCAGGGGTTTTCTCGATAATTCCAAAAGTCGCATTATTTTGATTTCTCCATTATCGCTATTGTTTTCACCCCTACTTCCTCATAGTGCTTTTTGGTGGGGAGGCGCATATCCATCTCTCTCGGTCTCTCGTATGTCAGGTGACCGCTTTCGACTAATGAGATTCTGATCGAGCATTTCTTTCTTTTCTTTTCCGCAGCCACGTGACCGTTTTCGGCTAATGGGATTCTGGTTGAGCATTTCTTTCTTTTCTTTTCTGCAGCCACGTGACCGTTTTCGGCTAATGAGATCCTGATTGGGCGTTTCCTGCAATCAATCAGGGCGGGCTTATATCGTTCTTGTTCTAAAAAAAACAAAATCTAATTTTTTCCTTTTTTTTTTTCGCACGTACGAAAAATGACCATCTTGGCCTTCTCTCACCTGGACTTTGTCAAACAGCCCGCCGCTAATTAGACTTGACCTCAGAAAGGATCTTTTTCCGCCTTCTTGGCGCCCTCTGTGAGCCAAAAAGCAATTGTCCCTCTTTTTACCTCTTTGTTTTTCCTGATAGTCAAAAATCTTAATTATCTACATTGAAAATGTCTCCACTTTATTATTGTGGGGTTCTAATTTTTTAACAGGTCAGAGCCTGTATACCGTTCCACCGGTCCTCCCTCAACCCAAAAGACACTTTCTCTCTGATTAAGATTGTTTCATTGTTCCCAAAATTTCTCTTTATCCAAATTGATAAGGTGTCTTTCCATGCAAAAGTAGGCTAGGTGCTTTGACCGATATCTGGCTTCCATCAAGCGGCCCGTTTTGATATCATGTCTTTTTTCCTTTCTTTCTTCTTATTATTTCTAATTCTATTCTTCCAATTGTCTTTAAAAAATTCGGTCAACATGCTAGCTAAGATATCTTTCTGACTCGTGTTTTTTGTTAATGACCGCTTTTTTGTATTTCTCGACTCTCTCTTTCCCCTTCCTTCTTCTTCGCTTAGGATCGTCCAAGTACAATCTTAGTGAATTATTTTCAACTCAATTATTTTCCGTTTTAAAAAAAAAATCAACAACCTGTTTAGTAAACCGAGTAAGAAAAAATTAAATCATATTTCTATGAATATTTCTAATAATGCAAGGTGCCACAATCCTCCCTAACTGATTTGTCATTTACCCGTAAATGACACCTAAACCAAGTACATCATTTAACATGCACCATGCATTTGTCTCATGCAATTCTATTCTACTTTCTAACATGCAAGGGTAATGTTCTTTCCATTTTCTTTTGTTCTACATGCAATGAAATGTTCTTTTCATTTTCTTTTGTTCTACATGCAATGAAATGTTCTTTTCATTTTCTTTTGTTCTACATGCAATGAAATGTTCTTTTCATTTTCTTCTGTTTTACATGCAATGAAATGTTCTTTTCATTTTCTTTTGTTCTACATGCAATTTAATGTTCTTTTCATTTTCTTCTGTTCTACATGCAACGAAATGTTCTTTTCATTTTCTTCTGTTCTACATGCAATGAAATGTTCTTTTCATTTTTTTTTTTTTTTACATGCAAGGTAATGTGTGCGTGTGTTTGTAGGTGCAGATGTGTTCACTAGGGTTTGTTCTTCTTGGTCAATGTTTTCCTCTCTGCCGTGGGAGGTTTTTCCGCCGCACGTGGTGGTCTCACGCCAGCCTCCTCCATTGGTCTTTCAGCAATTTCTTCGCCAGTCCTGTCTGAGTAAGGAACACTGCTCGGCATCTCCCTCTCGAGTTGCTGCATGCTCACTAGACTGTCGTTCGCCAATCTTCTCTTACTCTTAATCTTCCATATTATTACACCCCCGATGGCTATAACTAGGAATGTACCCATTACTATTGACCAACTTATCGCGATCTGCTCATCGTCTTCCCAAGCTACACCTTCGTCTCCCAACGCACTTAACTTATCCCTTAAGTGATCCATATCGATCTTTTCTATTGGCTTCATTAATACTGGCATCTTATTTAAGGTGACATTAGAGAATCTCTTCACTATCGGCTCCCATAATTCTGTACAATTGACTAAGCCTCTACCAATCATCTCTATGAGTGAATCTTTTCTTCATACCTTTCTTCCATCTGGTAATAGGGGGCAGGGAGATGGACACCCCAACCGCCGAACATCCATGGGTAGCGTCACCAGGGATAACGGTGGCCTTATTCTTAATGTCCTTGTGGACTCTCCCCCACATACCCTAGACAGGCTGATATGTTTCTGTGTGGCTACTGCCCACACCCCGTCTGAAACACTGATAGCTTGTGGTAATGCCGAGTTTGTTAATACCTCTACTTGGCAGATTCTTTTGATTCCTTCCCCCTTCTCTTCAAACAATTCTAATATGCACATTCTGCGGTTACCAGTTTTGTAGATAGGGCTCAACGAGGTACAAGTCCCCAGGGTATCATCTCTACACCTTCTAGCTTCTTCAGCTGATAGCAACATAAATTTCGTTCTCCCCGAATTTAATGCTATGTAGTCTGCTTCCACCTTGTACCTTGCTATCATTCCTGAAAGGTAACAAATTCTCTTGTTATTCTTCACAATCACTTAGTCTCGCTCGACTCATCACTCAATCATTTCATAACTTTTCTCTTAGTTCGGCTCTTCCTCCTCTAACTAACCCCTAGCAGACAGAATGGTCCGGTCAGGTGTGCGTGGCGCCCACTCTAAAGGTCGTACTTCATGACACCACTGGTGGCCAATCAATAATGCCAATGATCTTCTTCCGTCCCTTGTGAGGTGCAGCCCGCGACTCCATCCCTCCACTCACATCTACCATAGTCAGCCAATAGGATTTTGGATGAGCCAGTGTCGTTATCTGTCGACACTAAATGCTTCTATTCTGCACAGCCCTTTTGTTCTACTGAGATTTGGGGTTCTTCTCTCCTCCCTGATCTCATCTTCTGAGGTGATTCCTGTTCAACCTCTAACCTTCTTTCTGTGTTTAATTCTCGTCCAGGAGTTTTTTGTCCTCTTCTCCATCCCCTGATTCTTCTTTCTGTTTAGAGTCTTCGCCTTGAATGTCTTCAATACCTCTCGACTCTATGTCTAAACTTCTCCTGTTCTTTATCCTTTCCTTAAGCTGGGAAAGGGTATTTGATCCTCCTCCTCCCACTCGCTGGGCCCTTCGTCCTGTTCAGGGTGCCTCTTTTTAGAGCCTTCGACTGCTTGATTGGACCTCTTCGTCTTTTTCTTCCTTTTCTTCGGACATGGGGGTGTGATGGCGATCTCACGGGGTCTTCTCTGCACTGATTCAGTCGACGACTGAACATCGCTAATCCCCGCTGAGGGTTCCAACTCCGTCACTCGGACTGCTTCGTTTATCTGGTCAAGTCGACCTATCTCCTCATCTTCTTCGGAGTCTTCCTCCGTCTCCATTCCTTCCGGTTCAACCAGAGTTACCTTCCTTTTCCTTGTCTTTTAGGCCTCGGCTCGCTCATTTCCAGGTTAGCTATTTCAGCCTTCTTCAGATCATTGGCATGAACCCTCCTCGCTCGTCCTGCCACTTGATCCCATATTACATATGATACTGGGCCCGTCTGCTCCACTATCCGGTAGTACGGTTCCCATCTCTGGTCCAGTTTTCCTTCTCTCTGGTGGATTTTATAGTAGACAGGGTCTCCAACCTTCAATTCTACCACCTTTCTTTCAGCATTCACCCTCTCATTTCTTTTCTTCTGGGCCCTCTTTATTCTTCTTCTGGCCTGTACGAATATCTTATGTTGCTGTTCCAGCAATAGTTGATGATGATCTTCTCCCATATACCTTCTTCGGGGCTTCAGTAGGTTATCTACAGGCAGGACCACGTCTCTGCCAAACAACAAAAATAAGGAGAAAATCTGGAGGTTTCGTTTATCGTAAACCTCACGGCCGCCAGAGCCTGCGTCAAATACAAGTCCCAATTTCTAGTGTTTTCTCTGACCAACTTGGCCAATACATCTCCCAAGGTTCTATGAAACCTTTCCACTTTAGCATTTCCTGGGGGTGATATGGGGATGTTTTTATGTGCTCTACATTCAAACCTGTCAAAACCTCTCTCATGATGCTGTTCACATTCTCCGTGCCATTATCTGTTACCAATTGCACAGGGGCACCATACCTAGGGAAGATTTCGCTTATTATCAACCCGGCCACAGTTCTGGCCTTCTTGTCTGGTACTGCAAATGCCTCAGGCCAATTTGTTAGCCAATCGACAAAACTCACTATATAGTTGTTTCCTTGTGCAGTTTCCCCATATGGTCCTGATACATCCATACTCACTTTCTCGAAGGGGAAGTTTGGTACGTCTGTTTCCTCCAAGGGTGCCATTTCCTGCCTTCTGCTCTGCGACTGGCACACTACACAACTCGAACATAGTTAGTGACTTCTCCGTACAGTTTGGGCCAATAGTACTTTCTTCCTATGAGATCACATGTCCTATCAATTCCCATGTGACCCAACCTTTCGTGGCACTGTTCAATATCTCTGGTCTTAAACTTTTGGGCACATACAACTTGGGTTTGACTTCTTCATCCCTTCCTGAGAGATAATACAGCCTTTCCTCTATTATGGCATACTTGGTGGTCTCTCTGACTTCACCTTCTCTCTCAGAGCAGCTATTTCACTGTCTGCTTGCTCCTTCTCAATTCCTTCTGTCCAGTAAGGATCGGTTATTATCTGGGCGTCCCCTTCTTCGTCCGATTCTAATATAGGGCGATCTTTTAGCTTATTAGAGTTAATTACTCCTATTCTATAGGCTTTATCATCTACTCCCTGTTCTACCCTTACAGATCTTTCTTCCAGTTGTTTCGGTATTCTTGAGAGTAAATCTGCGCACGTGTTTTCCTTTCCTGCCAAATACTCTATCTTACAGTGGTAGCCACTTAACTTAAGTGCCCACTGTTGAATTTTCTTATTATTTGTCCACTCCGCCTGCAATAGGTACTGCAGAGGCTTGTGGTCTGTCTTTATAGTGAAGACCGCACCATTTAAATAGTAGTCCAGTTTTTGGAGAGCATACATGATAGCATATGCTTCCCTCTCTATTACTAGCCACCTCTGTTGTGTCTCTGAGAGCTTATGGGAGAGGAAGTATATCGGTACTTCCTCTGGTATGCCTGGCACTGGTCCTTCCTTATCAGGACACGGCTGGGTAAGTACTGCTCTTACACACTGCTCACTGGCATCCGTGTATAATATCATGGGCTTGCTGAGGTCTGGATACGTCAGCAGTGGAACGGTTGTCAACTGTTCCTTTAGCGAATCAAATGCTCGTTGACAGTCCTCTGTCCATTTGAACCTAGCGTATTTCTTCGTCAGGGCCACTAGCGGTATGGCAATTCTTGAAAATGCCGGGACGAAGCGCCGGTAGTAGCCTATAGCTCCTATAAAACCTCTTACCTGCCTCACTGTCTTAGGCTCTGGCATTTCCCTTATGACCTTTACCTTATCCATGTCGGGTTTAATACCGTCTCCGTTTATGACGAAGCCTAAATACCTAGTTTCTTCCCTCAGAAACTGACACTTTGACAATTTCAATTTTAATCCGTGTTTCCTCAACCTTCCCAACACCTGTCTTAAATGAAAAAAGTGTTGTTCCACTGTCTCCGAAAATATCAAGATATCGTCTAAATACGCCATGGCAAAGCTCTCGTATCCTCCTAACACTATTGACATTAGCTGTTGGAAGACTCCCGGGGCATTAGCTAAACCGAATGGCATCACTCTGAACTGAAACAGTCCCAGGTGACACGCGAATGCGGCCTTCTCCTTGTCAGTCTCATCCAGGGCTACTTGCCAATACCCGGACCTCAAGTCCAACGTAGAGAAGTACTTTGCCTTCCCCAACAATGCCAAAATGTCGTCTATCAATGGCAATGGCACCGCCAACGGCTTCGATATAGAATTCAGCTTTCTAAAATCTACACAGAAACGGTGGCCGCCATCTTTCTTACCTACTATTACTATTGGGAAGCTCAAGGAGAGATCAATCTTTCGATCATCCCAGCTTCCAACATTTTCTACTGCCTCTTCTACAAGGGTCTTTTATGTATAGGTGTTCGGTAGGGTTTTTAATTTCACAGGGGTGGTCTCCGGTGTCGATTTTCATTTCGACTGTGTGGGTCTGACCTAGTTCCTTATCTGACTGGGCTACCACATCTCGATTGTTCCTTAACAGACCCCCCACTCTGGTTCTAAATTGATCCGGTGCTAATATATCCTCATCTAAGATTCCTTTTGTTTGCTCTACTAGCTTCCTTCGTTCCTCCTCGAATCTCACCCGATTCAGAGTTCGTGGGGAAGTGCTCTCCCTATCTTCTCCCTCTCCTAACCTTTATAGTCTTTTGGGCCTGGTTCACCATCATTATGGGCACCAACTCGGCTGCCTCCACTACCGTTTCGCATAGGGTTACCTCGTTATCTTCTAGGCCCTTTCCTTCTACAGGGACCAACTGCAGAGGTCCTCTCCGTACCTTTTTTCTGACATTAGCCTACCCTTTCCCGACACTGCGGTCCTAGGAGGTAACTTTACATCTTCCTCCACCACTATGGTTATCTCTTCCTCTGGTGGGCATCCCAATGGCGTTCTCTCGCCGTTCACCACCAACACAGTAGGATTAAACTCGATCTGGGCCCTCTGGCTCCGGGCCAATCTTCTCCCAAGATTGCCTCCGTACACAGGTCGGGGGTTACGTAAAAATTTTGGGTGCTTTTCACCCTCCCAATCCTCACCGGGAGCCTCACCATCCCTTTTATCTCCAGGGGGCCCCATCTGCTTGTGTGATCTCTATGTCCGCTTCCCGTAACCTTCTCTTCCGTTTCACCCGCCTGTATGTCTCCTCTCTCATCAATGACACAGATGCTCCTGTGTCCACCAAAGCCCCATCATCCCTACCACCTATCTCTGCTTTACAGGATAGTTCTTTCTCTTGCGTTAGCGAAGAGAACACTTGAGCTTTCTTCTTCCTGGGTCCCCACCTTTGGGTTAACCCAGCCATAGGCGCCAGTAGTAATAAATCACCTTCATTTTTTTTTATGAGGTGGAGTTCTGCGCCCCCTGCACCTGGGCGACCCCGGCCGGACCTCTCCCGGTCTCCCATGGCCGTTTCTAAGAATACAGTTTCTTTTCAGGTGTCCTGGCCTCCTGCAAAACCAGCACCTTCTTGTTGGACAGCTTGCCGCAAAGTGGCCCGCCCGACCACATGTCCAACATTTTGCTCTTTCTCTTTTTAACTGGGTTGGCCTTTGTGTCTATCCTCGGGGGAACCCGTCCTCTATTCAAGAGGTTCCCCACCCACTGGTCAAGTTTTTATTTCTCTCCTTTTAACTGGGCCACCTCCCTCTTAATTCTGGGGTGGCCCGCTGGCTTTCTTGGGCTCAGCCTTCCTTGTTAATATTGGTGGGGCACCCTTCCTCAGCCTGCACCACTTGGCCAGGTGTCCTTTCTTACCACCTGGTGCACCTGTCACGATCGAAGTCTGGGGCAACCCCCACTTCGTCGGACATTCCGCCGCCCTGTGGTCCTCGTACCCACAGGTCCAGCAGACCAGCCCGTATCGACCCGGCGTGGGCTTATAAAAGCCATGCCTGTTCGACCATGCCCTTCTATTGGGGTCCTCCTCCCATAATTCTGCCCGATCCACCTCTTCCTTAACCCTCTGATTCCACACGGGGTTCTTCCGCCTACCCCCTTCTTCCAGCCTCTTGACTTGGCATCTGCTTCTTCCCACACCTCTTCACTTTATCCCACACCCCCCTGGCTCTCCCTGGCCAGCTCTATCGCTGCCGACAGTCTGAGCGGTCCTTCTTTCAATACGTCGTGACGAACACGCTCGTCGCTCAGCGCCTCTACATACAGGTCCGCCAGTTGAGCCTGCATAACCGCATTATCCCTGACCACTTCGGGGAATGCCAACGACGATAGCTTCCCCGCTCGGGCCCCTAATTCTCCCGGGGTTTCATCCCGCAGCTGTGTCAGATTAAAAAGGGCCCTCATGGCCTCTATGGCCGTACCTTCGTCGGCGAATTCTTTGGTTAGCAGTCTTTTTATTTCTTCCCAAGACAAGCGGGGTTGGTTCTCCAAAGAGCCCCCCTCACGAACTCAGACGCTTTTCCTTTGTGGCATCGTATGCCAAATACAGGGTTTCTTGGTCCGAGCTCGTAGATGGTTCGGCTCTTCTCGAGGATTGCCAGCCAGTTTTTAAACTCCTTCCCGCTGCCATCAAATACTGGGACCCTCGGTCCACCCAACAGCTTCCTTAGATCCACTGACAACCCTCGCCCTACTTCTTCTTCACCCCCCCACTGCTCTATCGAATCATAATCTGACATGTCTACAGAGAAAAGACAGTCTATACAGCAACAATCGAGGTTGGGAAACAAAACAAGGTGTCCTACCTTACAGACGATTCTGTTCTTTCTTTTCCTTTGGTCCCGGGTCGTTCTGAGTTCTGTCTGAATTTTTCAGCAACGGCGGTCGATCGTGGTCTTCTCAGGGCTGAAATCCCTCGGTCACCACGGCACCATATGTGTCGTGGTTGTCTCAGGGTTGATCCGTTGGTCACGGCACCACTTGTGACGGTTACACACCTGGCCCAGGGTCGGATCCTTTGGTTACGGCGCCAACGGTGACGTCGCTCCTCCTGGTCGCTCCTCCTGGGTCCAAGCGTGCCGCTCCAACCCCTTGGTCAGATGATCACCAGCCTCGCCTTTCCCGACTCGCTTCCAATACCTGGTCACTAAAGCAACTGTACCGATCTCCGGTCTGTCTACCCACGCTGTGTTTAGATCTTAGACAGACGGGACCAGCAGGGATTGGGGCCGATACAAGTTGAGTCCGACGGGGTGGCAAAACACAACAAAAAAAGAAAATAAACTCACGAGACAAAAGATTGCTGATGAAAAAAAAATGGGTAACAACCTTTTTATATCTTAATGTCCGCTACATAAAAACAAAATTGTTCTCATTTCCCAACCCGCTCTGTGGACTATGGCACCAAGCTTCTATCACACAACCTAAAGATTTCGAATTGCCTACTCTTTAGAATTGTGTATGTCGGAGTGTGGTTTGGTTCGACACTGGGGCTAATTTCTATCGATCATTCGCAGTTGACTCTTCTCTTCGACTTGAGTTGTATTTCTTCTTCTTCGTCGACTTAGGCTGGAAGTTCTCTTGTCTTCGACTTGGGCTAGAAGTTCTCTTGTCTTCGACTTGGGCTGGAAGTTCTCTTGTCTTCGACTTGGGCTGGAAGGATCTCTTGCCGCAACTCAGCCGCAAATCTCTGTCGTCCGAGGTGATCTCTTCTCGCTGCCGTCCGGGGCTGAACTCTTCTGTCTTCGACTTGGGCTGGAAGGATTTCTTGTCTGAGGATTCTTTTGCCCGCAAAGGGGCGAGTGAATCGGGCCTGATGGCCGCGTTCAGGCTCTATCCCTGCCCGCGGTCCAGCTGCAACTCTCAACTCCAACTCAACTGATTTCTGTCGACTGGGGTCCTGCTTTTATTGACGCCGCAACAAACTGGGGTGGGTCTGTCGGCGTCAGGGGTTTTCTCGATAATTCCAAAAGTCGCATTATTTTTGATTTCTCCATTATCGCTATTGTTTTCACCCTACTTCCTCATAGTGCTTTTTTGGTGGGGAGGCGCATATCCATCTCTCTCGGTCTCTCGTATGTCAGGTGACCGCTTTCGACTAATGAGATTCTGATCGAGCATTTCTTTCTTTTCTTTTCCGCAGCCACGTGACCGTTTTTCGGCTAATGGGATTCTGGTTGAGCATTTCTTTCTTTTCTTTTCTGCAGCCACGTGACCGTTTTCGGCTAATGAGATCCTGATTGGGCGTTTCCTGCAATCAATCAGGGGCGGGCTTATATCGTTCTTGTTCTAAAAAACAAAATCTAATTTTTTTTTTTTTTTTTCGCACGTACGAAAAATGACCATCTTGGCCTTCTCTCACCTGGACTTTGTCAAACAGCCCGCCGCTAATTAGACTTGACCTCAGAAAGGATCTTTTCCGCCTTCTTGGCGCCCTCTGTGAGCCAAAAGCAATTGTCCCTCTTTTTACCTCTTTGTTTTCCTGATAGTCAAAAATCTTAATTATCTACATTGAAAATGTCTCCACTTTATTATTGTGGGGTTCTAATTTTTAACAGGTCAGAGCCTGTATACCGTTCCACCGGTCACCCCTCAACCCAAAAGACACTTTCTCTCTGATTAAGATTGTTTCATTGTTCCCAAAATTTCTCTTTATCCAAATTGATAAGGTGTCTTTCCATGCAAAAAGTAGGCTAGGTGCTTTGACCGATATCTGGCTTCCATCAAGCGGCCCGTTTTGATATCATGTCTTTTTCCCTTTCTTTCTTCTTATTATTTCTAATTCTATTCTTCCAATTGTCTTTAAAAAAATTCGGTCAACATGCTAGCTAAGATATCTTTCTGACTCGTGTTTTTGTTAATGTTTTTTTTTTTTGTATTTCTCGACCTCTCTCTTTCCCCTTCCTTCTTCTTCCCTTAGGATCGTCCAAGTACAATCTTAGTGAATTATTTTCAACTCAATTATTTTCCGTTTTAAAAAAAAAATCAACAACCTGTTTAGTAAACCGAGTAAGAAAAAATTAAATCATATTTCTATGAATATTTCTAATAATGCAAGGTGCCACAATATGAAACTCTCTCCTTGATAATACCCCACAAAATGTGGAAATAGAAAATTATATTATGTAGGGTTGATAAGACTTTTGGGCGACCCTGTAAATTGCATACTTAATTTCCATGTACTATTTAAGATATTTTTTAAATATTTTGCACTTATTAATGTTCTTGCTTCTCGATTCACGCAAGTGGTGCTTAAACCATCAAAGTTTCAGGATGAAAAGCCACTTTCACAATGTAAAACTTGATTTTTATTCCATTTCGTGAAATACATCGATTTGATGTTTTGGCATATATCACCAGTGATATTTTTAGCTGAGAATCATTAGCGGTTTCATAGTGACTCAGCTGATTGGATATCAACTGATGTGCCATCCGTCAGCTACAACCATTCCCATAATGCACACAACACACTTTATTCATTGTAAATGCCTTTAAATTTAACAAATATAACGACGACAGGAATCATGTGCATCGTTAACTTTGAATTGTATCAACATTTGACCACACAACAAGCAGCATTTGTATTTTCTTTTTATCAAAGGAACTTTATTGGAAAGTATTCAAATATATGTGGATGTAACAGATGGCGTAATAGAGGCTTGAGGCCGGAAACTGGTGAGCCAAGACTGAATTCCAATCAAGATCATTACATCCACTTTTGCACAAATAACCTTGGGAAAAGCATGAATCCAGCTTTTCTCCGGCCCCTAACTATGGGTTAAATATCAAGGCCTTCTAGGTGTAGTTGGCAACCATTATAGAAAAGGGACAACTGAAACTTCTAAACTATATGTGACCCTGATGGGGGGCACATACGTAAACTGTAACTAAGGTCTGCTCAGCATAGTTTCTGTATAAACTAGTTTGGCTCAGTGGGTGTTGAAAAATACAAATGGGTTTCAGATGATGGGCATGCTCGGAAAACGAGCAGCCATGTTGATGAGAAATCGTACTGATTTGCAATGTGATTATGACGATCCAAATATCCGAATGTTAAATAATCTGCACATTGCTGCCAAAGAATTTAGCAAAATGCTTGATTTGTATTTTTCATATTTTCTCTTGTGTAATAAAATTCTTGATTGCAGTAGAAAATTAACCATCAAACTTAATGAGACGCCTTTTGGGGAGAGCATAGAGCCACACCCTCCCGAAGCTTTTTTAGGAGAGCATAGAGCCACACCCTCACGATGCTTTTTTGTGGTGAGGATAGAGCCACAACCTCACGATGCTTGTTGCTTTGGCAGTTTCTGTTGCAAGTTTTTACAGATAAGAGTGTGTAGTATTTGTTTGGACTAAACACAAAATTTGACTGTAGATACACGATAGACGACAAATGGATGTAACAAAATGTTTGTGGCTAAATTTTGTGCGTGGCAAAAAACAAGTTACAGAGAAGTTGACTGCTATGTTAATCCCTGAGTCTGCAACAGTTTTATTTCATATTCACATAACAAATGCCCCAAATTATGTTTTTAGGAGGGACATGTAGGTAGTTGCAGTGCTGTCTGTTTATATTGCCAGCCATACGTCATGAGGTTGAGTTGGGCAGTAAGTTGGTAGAATGACAGATGTACGAGAATGACAATAGCCTTCTGTCCTGAGTGTTACCTACCTAGCCACCCAGACTAAGCAGTAAAAAGCAAAAAAAAAAAAAAAAATAATGTAATTGGCGTAGGATGCCAGTTTACTAGAGCGGCTAGCTAATCCCCAATTGTGTTTGTTCAGCACCCACAGAGTTTATCTGCGGTCTATACTACAACTATCCTGAGCAAATGTTACAGTTTCTAGCAGAGAGTGCATTTAATAACGTAATCAATAGTCTGAACAAGTCTAGCACGCTCAAACCCTCGGTCACGATGACTTGTGACTTCGTGTTAGCACAATCACCGATGGCTCCCAATGGTACCGTCTATCCAATTTCACTCACAAGGGTTAACCCGTGGTATGGTTTCCAGGCACTTTCCAAAGGTGCCACACGCCGTGATTCCTCTTCCAGACTG